AGCACAGGGGTGTTGGAGCGAAGAACGTGCCTTGTAACCACAACCAATGAAGCCACAGGACAGCATGGCAGGGCCTTCACTGAAGACAAAAGTAGCTGTTGACTTGGCATTTATTTCTGTGTAAGTATTTGAAAAACAGACCCAAAAGGAAGCACCTGTGTGGCAGTCCCATATTTGTACCCAAGAAGTTCTCATACATGTGGTACAGGCTTTGGGGTCAGATAGATCTGGGATCATATCCCAACACTACCTCCTTCTAGAGTTTGGAAAGGGGCAAGTTCCTTCACTTTCCTGAACCTCAGATTTCTCATCTATCAAGTGGAAACAATGCTGCTTACCTGGTGGGGTCACTGTGAGGACTGGAGAGGGAGCTGAGGACCTGGCATGGCAGAGATTGGCAAGGAGTGGGTGCTTGGTGACGAATAGCCACATGCAAAGGAGAAGAAGCCATCCCTGCCACGTGCCACACCTTATGTTTCTGTTTATATACTGGGGAAAAAACAAAACAGAACCCTGTCTTCTGATGACGATTAATCTGACAGTTGCCAGGGGACGGGACCATGTGTAAATTGTCCTAATCAGAACACAGATAGTAATAACAATAACTAATTATCATAATTAGAATAGCAAACCTTTATATGGGGTGAGCCACTGCCCCAGCTCTGTGACATTGTCTAGTCTTGCAGACTAGGAAGGGCCTGATCTGTGAAGCCCTCCCTGCCCTCAGCTGAAGGCCCTGGTTAGGATCTGGGGCTTCCTGGCCTGGCTGAGTGGCCACAAACAACTGTTTTTGGTGACGTTCTTGGAAAATAGGATGAGCACCCAGAAAGATGTTCTATGGTCTTACACAGTCTTTTATATGCACTTCAAAGAACAAACAACCGTGTGCTCTCACCCCGTTGCCCTGTCACACAGCAACCTGGGGGTTAGTGATGGGGGGAGTCATGGCTGTGGGCTGAAGATATTCCAGGGAAGGCCCTCGCCTGGGCCTTGGGAGTGGCATAGGACACAGAGCAGGGCTCCCCTTTGCATACAGGCCCGAAGGGGGCCAGGGATCCGGGATGTGTCTGTAGAATGCCCAGAGAATGTTGTCTAAACAGACATTTTTGTGAATAACTGATGCTATTAGCAATTCTATCAGAACTGCCTAGAGAAGATTGCAGTTTATGGTTACCTAAGAATACAGAATGGAGAGTTTGGGGGGTTGGCAGTGGCGATGAGGAAATGCAAAATAAAGTTTGTGGGGACAACAGCAGAACAGACCAGAGTACCTGGCTCCTGTTCAGCCTGGCAGACGGTATGTGCTCCCATCAGGTATTAGGCCCTGGCTGTTGTTGGGGGAAATGTATGGATGGGATTAGAACAGACTGGGAAGGCCTGAGTGCCCTTGGTCAATGGAGGATGTGGTGGGTTCTGGGCACAGCCGCAAGGACCGTGCTGGACTTTAGGATGTTTGCTCTGTCATTGGCAAGGCAGGTGGAGAGAGACACTGCATCCAAGATGGGGAAGCCAAGCCTGGCGGCCAGCACTAAGGGCCTGAGCAGGGCATGAGCCAGAAAGTGGGGCACATTCCAAAGATTTGTCCTCCAGGCTCCCCAGCACCCGGGGGCCTGAGCAGGGCATGAGTCGGAAAGTGGGCACATTCCAAAGGTTTGTGCTCCAGGCTCCCAAGGTGTGCAGCAGGAGTTCCCTCTTGAATGAAGAGCTGAAGCTATTCCATGCCCCTCTAAGGCCAGGGCTGTACTGCAGAAGCAGCTTCTTGGAGAAAAGTGGCCCAGCCAGCTTCTGCTAAGGTGTTCTGGGGCCGAGTAGAGCAGCAGCCTTCAAACCAGCTCACCCACATCCCTTAACAAGCCAAGCCACTGGCTGTTCCAAAATCTTCCCAGTGGATACCCCAGTGGCCTACTATTGCAAAGTACAATGAATCCTCACTGGAGTCTGACAATGTTAGTCTCTTGTGCCTTAGTTTCCACAGCTGATCTAGATGGCTCTCTCACCTGCCACCCCTCAGTATGAACACTTGCTAGAAGGCTGCAAGCAGGTGACTCCACTTCACATCCCCAACATCCAGCCACGGGAGTCCAGGGGCAATGCCTGCAGGGTGGGGTGTGGGTCCTACTGGCCTCACAGCAGGAGGCCTGCAGACACAGGCTGGGCCTGTCTGAGGCTGCAGGATCTTCACCCAGCAGGGAGGGCCCCAAGAGGCAGCCTCCATGATTCTTCCTGCTGCACGCTGTGGTGTGGCCGGATCCTTTCCTCTGTCTGCTATCTTTCGTACTGAGCCTCTGATGCCAGTAGCCAAGAGGGCTACACTACAAGGCAAGTAAGACTAGTTCTTGTTACTCAATGATACAATAACTTTTCAAATAGGAGGTGATTATGTAAACTGCACAGAGCACATCCAACACCTGTTCCATTTATATCTCTGGAAAAGATAGGGCTATATTTATTACCTGATACAACTCAGCCCAAGGCCCAGATGATATCAAACCCACAGGCATGATTTGGGGTGAGGTTTGGAGGCAGAATGAACACCCCAGCAGCTGGCTCTTTGCCTTTCCCACATGCCTCTGTATCTCTGTACCCTTGGAGCTCAGAATGCCTGGCTGTGACACTGGGTGGAGCCTTCCAACGTCATTTGCTGAGCAGCTAGGTCACTTGTCAGATCTGCACTATGACAGGATCCTGACTCTCAAGGTGTGCACTGCACCCCCATCTGCAGGCTTCACAGCCTCCACGTGCTTCCCTGGCTTCCATGCCACTGCCAATTCCTGCTCTTAAGATATCTGATGTGGGGTACAGTGGCTCATGCCTGTAATCCCAGCACTTTGGGAGGCCAAGGCAGATCACTTGAGCTCAGAAGTTTGAGACTAGCCTGGGCAAAAGGCAAAACCCTATCTCTCCAAAAAATACAAAAATTAGCTGGGTGTGGTAGCACATGCCTGTAACTCCAGCCACTTGGGAGGCTGAAGGGGGAGGATCACTTAAAGTGGAAGGCAGAAGTTGCAGTGAGCTAAGATCACACCACTGCACTCCAGCCTGGGCAACAGAGCGAGACCCTATCTCAAAATAAATGAAATAAAATAAAAATATAAGGCATTCAAGTCATTCTTTCATAAGTTCTTTAAGCATGTGTGCAGTTGTTGCTGGATTAGGGCTCTTCGTGGTCCTCCTCCAACACCAGTGAGTCCCTCCTGCTTTCCACGTCACACCCAGCCTCTGCCTGAGATCAGGAACGAGGCAATTATGCCCACTCTCACAACTTCTGTTCTACACGATGAAATTCCTGGCTGGTATAGTAAGGCAATAAAAAGAAATGAAAGACATAAGATTTGAAAGAAAGAAGTAAAACTATACTTCTTACTTGCAAATTTCTTAGTTTTCTATATAAACAAACCACTAGAAGTAATAAGTGCATTTAACATTCCAGATTACAAGGTCAATATACAAAAATGAATTGTATATCTACATACCGACAGCAAATAATTGGAAAATAAAAATTGAAAGTTCTGTTTACAGTAATGTTATAAAACATAAGAATAAATTTTAAACAGATATGCAAGATTGCTACATTGAAAACTATCAGTTTTTGAAAACCAGTGATAAGATGTTGATTCTCCCCAAATGATCTGGATTCAATACAATTCTCCCAGAATATTAAACAGGCTTCATTGCAGAAACTAAAACTGTTTCTGAAATTCATATAGAAATGTAAAAGTCCAAGAATAGTTAATCTTGAAAGAAGAAGTACAAACTGAGAGCACTCACACAATCTTTTCTCAAGACTTTATGAAATCATAGTGATCAAGAAAAATATATCAACAGAAAAAGATATCAATGGAACAGTACAGAATTAGACAAATATGTAAAAAATTAATTGATCTTTTATGAATATACCAAAGCAGATGAATGAAAAAAAGGAAACAACAGTAGTGCTGAAAATACAGGATATCTGTATGTTGAAAAAAAAAAAAGAGGAAACTTGAAATCCGAACTCACACCATATCAAAAAGTAATGTGACATGTGACATGAATGACAGATTTAATGTATAAACTAAAACTATGATGACTCTAAAAGAAAATGTGGAAGACTATTTTTCTGACTTTGGGATAAGCCAAAATCTCTTAGATTAGAGAGATAAGGCAGTAACTATAAAAGAATAAAAGTGAACTGAGCTTCATAAAAATTTCAAACTTCTGCTCATCCAAAACCACAATTAAGAAACTGAAAAGATTGCTGGGTCAAATGGAATTTCTATTTCTAAGGCCTTGAGGAATTGCCACACTGTCTTCCACAATGGTTGGACTAATTTACACTCCCACCAACAGTGTAAAAGTGTTCCTTTTTCTCCACATCCTCTCCAGCATCTGTTGTCTCCAGATTTTTTAATGATCGCCATTCTAACTGGCGTGAGATGGTATCTCAATGTGGTTTTGATTTGCATCTCTCTGATGACCAGTGACAATGAGCATTTTTTCATATGATTGTTACTGGGTATATACCCAAAGGACTATAAATCATTCTACTATAAGGACACATGCACACGAATGTTTATTGCAGCACTGTTTACAATAGCAAAGACCTGGAATCAACCCAAATGCCCATTGATGATAGACTGGATTGGGAAAATGTGGCACATATACACCATGGAATATTATGCAGCAATCAGAAATGATGAGTTCGTGTCGTTTGTAGGGACATGGATGAATCTGGAGAACATCATTCTCAGCAAACTGACACAAGAACAGAAAATGAAACACCGCATATTCTCACTCATAGGCGGGTGATGAAAAATGAGAACACATGGACACAGAAAGGGGAGTACTAAACTCTGGGGTCTATTGGGGGGAAAAGGGGAGGGCCAGTGGGAGGGGGAGGTGGGGAGGGATAGCCTGGGGAGAAACGCCAAATGTGGGTGAAGGGGTGAAAGCAAACAGAACACACTGCCATGTGTGTACCTATGCAACTGTATTGCATCGTCTGCACATGTACCCCAAAACCTAAAATGCAATAAAAAAAAATAAGAAGGAAAAAAAAAGATAAAAAAAAAAGAAACTGAAAAGACAAAACTCAGACTGTCAACCAACACAGAAAGGTGAGATAGAGCCCCCTGAGCCAGCAATTGACACAGAACAGCAAGATATAGCTCGCTGAGTCAGTACAGAGAAAGTGAAACCAGCAGAATGAGCAAGTAGCCCTAAGACTTGAGAAAGGCTCCATATGAAGTCTTAGGAACAGAGGTGTGTGTGAACTGCCCCAGGGTGTGGGAGGGACCTGCCATGTCCGTTGAGGATTTTTGAGATGGGGGAGGTGTGTGAAAGTGTGAGGAAGAGACAGCTCTGGAAGGAACCAATGCAGGTAGTGACGTGGGGAGACACAGTTTCCTTAGAATGGACTGTGCCCTCCGAGGCAAGCGTGTGGCTGGTTTGTTCTAGGGTGGTGAATAAGGTCAACAGGAGCATCCCTGTAAAAGGCAGGTGCACCGTAAGGGATTAAGAAACCCTCCTGACCAAGCATTACCCGAACCTCCATGTAATAAGGCCTGGCCAGATCAGCCTGGAAAAAATGTCTGAGGTGTGTGTGTCATGATGAGTGGAAGAGGGAGGCAAAGAGATAAAATGCTGTCCTATGGAGTATACTCTAGAAAATGTCAAGAAAGTATTTTCAGGGGAGTATTGTGTCAAATTGTCCCTTCAGAAGTTAAGGACCCTCTGTAATCTGGAGTGGTCTGCCTTTAGAGTTGGTTGGCCTCCAGAGGGCACCCTAGACAGGAAGATTACTGACCAAGTGAAATAATAACAGGGGCATCAGGCCAACCTGGGCATCCAGATCAATTCCTACCTATTGATTTTTGGCTAAATGTAATTCAGATGCAGCCCGGGTGGCTAAGACAGTGCATGGCTGAGTACTGCAAAACCCTGGTTGCCCAAGGAGGCCCAAAGGAGGCCAGAAAAAATGTAATGTATAAGCCCCCCAAAAAAGAAATTAAACTCTTAGGAAGCCAAGAGAAACCAATTTTGCAGGCTCCTCCAGAGGAATTAGATGCCCCTCCTCCATATGTCCCATATATCCATCTCTAGCGAGGCTCAGACAAGAAGAGGGACAGATGTCCTTGGAGTAGACAAGCTCAGAAAGCAGCATGACACAAATATCACCTCAGAGAGAGAAATCTTCATGCCCGCTGTCCAAAATCAGGAAGAAAAGGCAGGACTAGGAAGCAGGAGACCTCTGATTTGGCCACACCTGAGTTTTGTAGATGCCACTTAGAGACACTCAGGCTCAAATGCATCTTAACGAACAGTGCCAGGTGAGAGGAGAGGAATGAGTCTACTCCTATTTACTCTTCTCCACAACTGATCATTTGAATAGGAAACATCACAATCCTTCTTATAAGGAAAACCTCCAGGAAGTAATCGACACAATGAAGTCAATATTCCTAACTCATAACCCTACTTGGGCAGACTGTCAGCAGCTTCTTGTTACTCTGTTCTGTGTGGAAGGAAGATATAGAGTAGTACAAGCAGCTCTTCTCTGGCTGGAGAGAAATGTGTCTGAAGGTAAAAATGATCCATGTTGATATGCAGAAGCCCAATTCCCTGACACTGACCCAAATTGGGACCCCAAAAAAAACCCTTATTTAGAACAATTACAGAGATACAAAGAGGCACTACAGAAAGCTGATGAAAGCCCCAGCTAGTACTATGAGAGACTCTGTGAGGCTTACATACTTTATACTCCCTTTGACCCCAAAACAGTTGAAAATCAGAGAATGGTTAATACAGCCTTTGTCAGTCACAGGGCCACATCAGGTGGAAGCTTCAAAAACTTGAAGGGTTTGATGGAAAGAATGCCTCTGAATTTATATCAGCAGCTAGTCAAGTGTTCATAAACCATGATCAGAAGGAAGAGAGAGAGGCTAAACAGAAACTAAAAGAAAAAGATGAAACAGTGCCAACAGCTCAGGCAAAAGTGCTAGTGGTCACCCTAGCTGACAGGGGAAATTTCTTTGGAAGACAGCAAGGCCAAGGCTGTGCCCAGGGCCAAGGGAAGGACCAAAATGCAGCAGGAGGCCAATTCAGAGTAGGAAGGAACCAATGTGTAATTTGTAAAAAGGAAGGTCATTGGAAAAATGATTGCCCAGAAAAGGATAAGGGTAAAAACCAAATTTAGGAGATGCAGTCAAACCAGAGGTTCTTTCCTTGCCCACGGCATTTGATAATTCCACTGTCCTGAAATCCAGTACTGACCTAATAGGCATGGTTGAAGCTGAAAATTATGCAGACTGAGACAGATCGGGCTCTCTGTCTCTTCACCTCCAGGATCCCATGGTCAAAATGGATATAGGGGGCCAACAAACAAGTTTTATGGTAGATACAGGTCCTGAGCACTTAATAGTGACTCAACCAGTTGGGCCATTAACCAAAAATTATGCTACCATCATTGGGGTCACCAGAGTGTCAGAAAGAAGGCCTTTCTGTCAATCTAAAAGACGTGTAATTCCTGCTTGGGAAATTCAGCATGAGTTTCTATACCTATCCAACTGGCCAATCCCTCTTTTAGGAAGAGACCTACTCCAAAAATTGCAGGCACAAATCTTTAGCCAACCAGGGAACATAACTTTGAATCTAGGCCAATCTAAGGCAGTGGTGTTTACCCTCACTCACCCAAAGTCTGAGGAATTGAGACTATGCAGAGGCACTCCCTGGTTGGGCACTAGATAGACCCGAGGCTGTGACAGCAAGTATGATTTTAACTCTAGGATACCTGAAGTTTGGGCAGAAAACAATCCACAAGGACTGGCAGTCAATCAAGCACTGGTCTTTGTAGAGTTATTGCCAGGAGCCATCCCAGTGAGAGTCCACCAATACCTTATTTTCATGGATGTAGTCCAGGGCATTCAGAAGTAGATAGAACAGCTCATTGAATATGGGATTTTAAGATAGTGTAATTCACCATGGAACACACCTCTTTTACCAGTGAAAAAACCATCTGGTGAATATGGGCCAGTGCAAGACTTCCATGCTGTTAATAGAGTTACAGTCACAATCCACCCAGTGGTGCCCAATCTATACCCCTGGCTTGGACAAATACCTGCTAGTGCAGTCTGGTTGACTTGCTTAGACTTGAAGGATGCATTCTTTTGTCTCAGGCTGTCTTCCATAAGCCAGCCCGTTTTTGCTTTCCAATGGGGAAAAACGCAGTACACTTGGACTATATTCCCACAAGGGTTTCAGAATTATCCTACAATATTTGAAGAAGCACTAACCATGTACCTCAAAGCTTTCATTCCACCTAACGATGAGTGCATTATCCTGCAGCACATTGATGATGTTTTGTTTGCAGCCCCGACTAGTAGATTGCCGAAAGGATACTAAAGACCTCCTTCACATCCTGTGGAAGGCAGGTTATAAAGTCTACTGGAAAAAAGTCCATAGGCTCAAAAAGGGTCAAATATTTAGAGTTCATGGTAAGTCAAGGAAAAAGACAGTGTGGTAGTGAGTGGAAGCAGGGTGTGTGTGCACTTTCTACCTTGACCACTCGCCAACAAAACCAGGGAGTCTTTAGAGGCAGCAGGTTTTGTTGTATTGTAAACTTCGCACTCATTGCTAAGCCCATCTATGAAGCCACAAAAAGGGGAGAAAAGAAACACCTCTGGGAAATAGATTTTTTAAAAGGCCTTCACAAAAATTAGGAAAGCCTTAATTCAGGCCCCAGCCTTAGAACTACCAGATCAAACCAAGCCTTTCTTCTTATACGTACATGAAAGAGAAGGAATGGCTATCGGAGTCGTAACACAAATGCTGGGGTTGTGGCATTGACCTGTAGCATATTTATCCAAGCAGTTAGACTCTGTAGCACTAGGCTGGCCCCATTTCAAAGCTGTAGTGGCCACAGCCTATTGGCTCAGGAGGCTGGCAACCTGACATTAGGACAGCAGTCAATCATCCAGGTACCCACAGTGTAATTACCTTACTAGACCAGAGAGGACATTACTGGCTGTCAAACCCTAGGGTGACTAGGTAGGTACCAAGGGTTCTTGTGTGAGAACCCTTACATAGTTGCTGAGACAGTGAATACTCTAAACCCAGCTACCCTGCTACCTGTAGGTGGGACCCTCTCACATTATTGTATAGATATAGTAGATAAGGTGTTCTTGAGCTGAAGGGATATGCCTTTTAGTGATTCAGAAGTTGTTTGCTTGACAGATGGCAGCAGTTTTATCTCAGGAGGAAACTACTGGGCCAGGTATGCCGTGGTAACATATGATTATGGGCTAAACAATGACTCAGTGGTAGAGGCAAAGTCTTTGCCCTTGGACATCAGCCCAGAAGGCAGAATCAATTGCTCTAAGAAGGGCCCTGTTACTAGCAAAAGGAAAAGTGGCCAATATGTATACTGACTCCAAAAATGCCTTTGCTATGCTGCATGCCCATGGGAGCCATATATAATGAAAGAGGGCTCCTGACAGGTAAAGGAAAGGAAATAAAACACAAAGAAGGAAACTTGCAGCTTTTAGATGCTGTATGGGCACCAGAAAAGGTAGCTGTTCTGCACTGCAAAGGATACCAGGCATATGGGTCTTATGAGTCTAGAGGAAATAGGAAAGCAGAGAGGCTATAGCAACTCCATCATTGGAGGGCAAGGAGTTTGCGACGCCTCTTTTTCCAGAATCTCTACCTATGGGAAAACCTAGTTATGCCCCTACTGAAAAGGCCCTGTTCACTCAAGAGGCTGGGAATTATTCCAAAAGTGGGCGGTGGCAATTCTCAGCTGGGCAGCTGGCCATTCCCAACATAATGGCCCTGAAGTTTGTGAAGCAGTTCCATGAGAGAACACATATGTAGAAGACAGCTTTAGAAGCCCTAATAGGGCACCATTTTTACGTGCTGCACCTCACTGTCACCACTTGTGCTGTTAGTAAAAACTGCTTAACCTGTGCCCAAAACAATCTGTGGCAAGGCCACTTCAACACCCAGGAATTCAGAGTAGAAGCAACCTTATGTGAAAACCTACTTGTAGATGTTACCAAATTGCCTGGAGCAGAACGCTATTGGTATATGTTAGTATTCATCTGTACTTACTCCAGGTGAGTTGAAGCATTCCGCACTCAAACTGAAAAGGCCAGAGAAGTGACCAGAGCCTTATTAAAGGATGTTATCCCCAGGTTTGGGCTGCCTCTGACTCTAGGATCCAACAGTAGACCAGCATTTGTAGCTGAGATTGTTCAAGATCTCTCTCAGCTGTTAAAAATAAATTGGAAGTTACATACTGCCTACCATCCCCAGAGTTCAGGGAAAGTAGAGCAAATAAACCAGACACTAAAACAATTGCTAAAGAAATTCTGTCAGGAAACACACTTATGGTGGAATCAAGTCTTGCCCATGGTCCTCAGAGTGAAATGCACCCCAACCAAACAGACTGGATATTCATCTTATGAACTTTTGTTTGGGAGACCCCCCACCAACTTATAATCCAGGTAAAAGGAGATCTTAAGGAAATAGGAGAAATAACATTAAGGAGTCAAACAGGCCTTAAGTATAGCCATGGAGCAAGTACAAAGCTGGGTACAGGAAAGAATAACTATAAGTTTAATAACTCCAATCCGTTCATTTAAACCAGGAGACTGTTTAAAAGTGGAACCGAATCACATTGGGCCTTACATGGAAGGGCTGCTTTATTTCTACCCCCACTGCTGTTAAAGTTGCCAAAGTTGTTTTCTGGATTCATCACAGCCAGTTAAAGCCAGCAGCCCAAGACAAGGGGACCAGTCAGCCAGATCCAGAGCATAACACCATGCTAACTTTGTGATGCGTTGTTGACAAGGACCAGGACCAGCCCTGTTCGGTCTCAGATGCAGTTGACCCTGAGGAATCATTAAGCCCTGCTCTACTCACAACACCAAAAGCTGACTTGTCAATGCATGGCTGAAGCTTGAGGAATCGCCACCGGACAAGTATATGTGGAGTGAAAGCTTAAGCCTTGTTGTTATTTTAGTAATATTAATGATCCCGTTAGCATGTTGTCATTGCTGCCAAGTTTTGTTCCCAGGAATAAACATTTCTTGTCCAGTCTTAGTATAAAATTTATGCCTTTCATTTTGCCCATGTTAGCTCTTATGGCAAATTCAGTAAGGGGGTAAATCAAGAATGGGTGTCCTATGTGCACCCACACTACATGGATAGGGAATGCACAAGTTAAAACCCTACTATACCAAACACATTGTGAGTGTACAGGAGCTTCCCCAGGATCTTGCATTATAATCAAGCTACCTATTCAATTTGTGATCTAGGTGATGGTCAGTCTTATATGTGCTGTGATCCCAAACTTTTTCCTGAGACTTGGTTTGGACCCCAGGAAAAGTCAGCAGAAGGAACCCTTTACAACCTGACTTGGGTATCCCCTTCTCATTAAGGAAGTGTGTTCTTATACTTAGATGCCTGTCGGGTAATAAAAACACTTCTTAAAAATAATAGTTGTAGCTTCAACTTGTTATAACACCCCCATTAGAGAAATCCTGTGTGCACAAGGTGTAGCCACAAAACCTATAATCCTCAAGTGAAGCAGGCTGAGCTTACTCCAATCCCCACTTGGATCAGTGATGCCATCTACTGGTAGGATTATAATGACTGTGAAATAGGAGATAAAGGGAAAATCTGCAGTCTCATAGAATTCACTATGTTGGACCCAGACTCACCTATTTGGGTCACAGGCATCAAAGAACCAGCAGGATATAATAATTTAACTAAGGTAGATGAAGAAAATGCTGAGAAAAGAAAGATAGGCCTTGTGTATCTCAAATGGGCAAATGAAGACACTGTGTCTTTTTTATACTGTCAAAATACCTAAGCTTATTGACCCCAACAGTGGTTTCAAGTCTTTAAGTCATTCAATGAACATTTTAACCAATTCCTGAGTCACCTTCCACCACTAGGAATCTATTTGCTCAGTTAGCTGAAAGTATAGCAGGAAATCTAGGGGGTCACCTCATGTTACATATGTGGAGGAACTAACATGGGGAGCAGTGGCCTTGGGAAGCAAATGAATTGTTACCCAAGACAATTATGCTTTAACCCTTTATGCCTCAGATACTCCAGAGTTATCATCCACAGGCTCCAGTGCTAGGCTTCTAAAAACTTCTGTTATAGGAAGGTCCTGTACTGACCACTGGGGAGCCACCTATACTAATCCAGTAGGTGAACTGGCATGCCTAGGACAGGAATATTACAATGAAACTACAGGAAAGACCTAATGACAGAGGGAGGACAGGCCAGGTAAGAGCAGCTCCGAGCCACCTCGTTTTAACCCGTTTTCCAGATTTCCTTCCTTAAACCATTCTTGGTACCAACTAGAAGCTCCAAATGCTTGGTGGGCACCCTGAGGCCACAACTGGATTTGTGGCCTGCAGGCATACAGGCAGTTGCCAGAAAAATGGATGAGGGCTTGTGTGTTAGGCATCATCAAACCATCATTTTTTTTTTTGCTTCCAGTGGAGCAAGGGAAGACATTAGGGTGCTCTATATACCATGAGTCCAGAATAAGAGCAAGCAAGCAATAAACATAAAGAAAGATGTACAAATAGGAGACTGGAAAAACACCGAATGGCCCCCAGAGAGAATAATTATTATGGTCCAGCTACTTGGGTCCAAGATGGGATATGGGGATATCACACTCCCATCTGTGTGATAACTGCATCATTAAGTTACAGGCAGTCCTAGAAATTACAAACAATGAAACATACAGAGCTTTAGATTTGCTACCCATACAAGCCCCAAGGATGAGAAATGCAATATATCAGAATAAGCTGGCACTAGATTATCTCCTGACCTCAGAAGGAGAGGTTTGTGGAAAATTTAACCTAACCAATTGTTTAGAATTTGATGACAATGGAGATAGATCACCGAGACTTTGGAAATGGCCCATGTCCCGGCCCAAACTTGGAAAGGGTAGTCTCCAAATTCTCTTTTTGGTGATGGTTTTCATCGTTTTGTGACTCAAAACTCTTATAGGGAGTGTAATTCTCATATTAGGCGGATGCCTAAAACTCCCTTGCCTCGTTTCTCTTTTATTTAGAAGTGTAAAATCAACCATAGAGGCAGTAATGCCTAGGCACACTACCACCAAAATAATTGTTTTAACTAAATATCAGCCTTTTTCCTCACAGGAAGAGAACCGCACAGTAAAAAGGCAGACAACTGTAGTACCAATGCAGGACTCCTCTGAGGGGATTTTCCTTCCTCATACTCTCCCTTCTCTTGTTCCTTCCCTGAATCACATGAAGCACAGATGTGCAGGTAAAGAACTTCTGGGCCAAATCATGAAGTATAAACATCAGGTGTCATAACCTAATGAAACAGCTTGCTAAAGAGTAACCTGGCTCCAGTCTTGTCTTCCAGGCTAAGCAAAGGCCTCCAAAAATGACACCCAATGATATCGCCTGCCCTGTAAGGCCCCAGATGGAGGGCTGGTTACCAATAATTGGTAAGAGTCCCCAGAGTGAGGGATGACCTAAGACAGGCACAGTGCAAAGAGGCCAACAGGAGCCAAAGGAATTTGCCAGCTCACCATCAGTATGTCCAAAACAGATGACAACAGGAGAAGGTACACTGTGAGCTAGTTTTGCAATCAGGAAAATGAACAGTAACACTTTAATGACACACTGACCCCTCCATCCTGGCATCATGGGAATTGTAAAGTCTCAAAGAAAGAAAAGAGAGAAAAGCCTTCTAGTAATGAAATCCCTTTAAAGAAAGCTCTTAAGGGGGGAATGAGGAGGAAAACAAAATCAAAGAGTTAAAATAGAATAAGTAAGTTAACATTAGCACTAGGTTATTAAGAAAAAAATCATAGTAAGCAAAAATAAGTAACACCTCCCAGCTCAGCCCAACTAACTGCAGCTGCAAACTTATCTCGCAGCACCTATTCCAGGCTATTCATAAAACCTGTTCTTAGAGAAAGTAGAGATAAAGCAGACCTAGCACTGCCCCCTATCTACTTACATAAGAGCACCAGAGGATGTCTTTATGCCACAGCCCACACATACTTGTGCAATTCCTGTTTTTCTGGTCTCCTTGGGTGTTTTCCTCAACTATACAACCTTCCACCTCAGCTGCAAGGTTATAAGGTCAAGATAACCACGAAGAAAATGCATGTTTTCCCACCTCAAATTGTATAAAAGCAATATGTTCTGTTTGTTCAGGGCTGGCAGCCATTATAGGCATTAGCCTCACCATCATCAGTTGGTACACCAATAAATCCTCTTGTGTCTCCATGGTCTCCTTGCCCCGCTTGGCTTGAGTTCCCACAACATTTTGACTGCTGTCATTCACACTACAATAACAGAGTTGAATAGCTATGATAGAGACCACGTGGCCTAACATAGTTCCTCTCTGGCTCTTTACAGAAAAAGTTTTCTAATCTCTGCTTTATATCATGACCAGAATGCCCTGATACGCAAGTCCAATCTTGTGACTCCTCTGATCAAATTTTCCAATGAATCTTTGCAGAGAACATTGCTGGCTTCCTATGCATAGCCATTATTTATTCTTTCTTGCTGCAGAAACACAAGTTTATTTAGACATTTATTATTCCATTACCCCCATTACCCCCATCCCATCTCCATAAAGAGAAATGATTAGGCTAAGCTAATCACAGTCAGGCGATCCCTCCACCCGGCTTTCGGCCTCCTCAAGCATTCTTTCCTCCACGCTTTCAGACTCATCAGGCCTTCTTTCTTCCCAGCATTCAGCCTCATCAGGCCTTCTGTCTGCCAAGTGTTCAGCCTCCTCAGGCGTTTTTTCCACCAAGGGTGCAGCCTCATCAGGTGTTCTTTCCATCAAGCCTGCAGCCTCATCAGTGGTTTCCTCCCCCAAGCTTTCAGCCTCCTCAGGCGTTGTCTCCACCAAGGGTGCAGATTCATCAGGCGTTCTTTCAGCCAAGCCTCCAGCCTCATCAGGCCTTCCCTCCCCTAAATGTTCAGCCTCTTCAGGCATTCTCTCCACCAGGGGTGTAGCCTCATCAGGCGTTCTCTCTGCCAAGGGTGCAGCCTTGTCAGGTGTTCCTTCAGATGTTTCTTCTGCCAAACACACAATCTGGTTAAATTTTTCTTCTGCTGAATATCATCCTTCTGATTCCTTACATGGTAAACTTCTACTCATTTTGTACGCTTTCCTTAAATACTACCAAACTTTACTTTTCTCCCTTTTTTTTTTTTATTTTTTGAGACTGAGTCTTGCTTTGTCACCCAGGCTGGAGTGTAGTGGCGCCATCTCACCTCACTTGCAAACTCCACCTCCTGGGTTCAAGCGATTCCCTGCCTCAGCCTCCCAAGTAGCTGGGATTACATGCATGCACCACCATGCCTGGCTAATTTTTTGTATGTAGTAGGGATGGGGTTTCACCATGTCAGTCAGGCTGGTATCAAACTCCTGAGCACAAGCAATCTGTCCACCTTGACCTCCCAAAGTGCTAGAATTATAGGAGTGAGCTACTGCAGCTGGGTTCTACCCATTTGTTGTTGTTGTTGTTTTGTGGCGGAGTCTCATTGTGCTGCCCAGGCTGTAATGCAGTGATGCTGTCTATCTTGGCTTACTGCAACCTCCACCTCACTGCAACTTCTACCTCCCAGGTTCAAGTGAATCTCCTGCCTCAGCCTCCCAAGTAGCTGTGTGCCACCACACCTGGCTAATTTTTCATATTTTTAGTAGAGACAGGGTTTCAACTGTGTAAGCTGAGATGGTCTTGATCTCCTGACATCGTGATCCACCTGCCTCAGCCTCCCAAAGTGCTGGGATTACAGGCATGAGCCACCGCACCTGGCTGACACTACCAAGCTTTTCAAAGCTTTAATTCTTCACCTTGGATATAAAATGTCTGACACATGCTGAATGTGGTAACAACATAATAAGTGATAATTTTTAGCTATGACTACATAGCTTATAATAAGTGATAATTATAAGCTCACAAAGGGGTTTTGGCACAGAATAAGCACTAAATAAAGTAGTAATAATAATAAAAAGACAATAATAACAAGAAAAATGCTTGGTACCTTAATAAAGCAGTAAATAATAAAAAATGACAATGATAATAACAAGAAAGATGCTTAGCACCTTAGAGATACTTGACAGTTATTTGTTAAGTGGACAAATGGATAAATGGATAAAAACTTTTTTTTAGAAATTCTGTTGGAAAAAATGCCCAAATTCAATAGGGACAGCTCTACAGTATAATGGGAGCACCTTAGAGACCCAGACTAGTTGTATTCCATCATTGTCTCCTGCAACTTGCAAAACATGACTTATAGTAGCCCTTTGATAAATAAATAATAAAGATGTCCTTATACAGTTCATATTGTACAATGCATTGTGTCACATTTAGGTAGCATTTTCTCCAGCTCACTTTATTGTAATACAGTACATATAAAATAGAAACTGTGTGTTAATTGACTGTTTATACTTTCAGTAAGGCTCCAGATCAACAGTAGACTATTAGCAGAGTTTTGCAGGAGTCAAAATAAACAGATTTTCATATAAAGCAGATTTTCAGCTGCGGGGGATGAGTGCCCTAACTCTCATGTTGCTCAAGACTCAGCTGTAATTAATTCTCATTTACTAAATACAAACCATTTATTGCAAAAATTAAATAGAGCACAAAAGTTGTCCAGAAGTTCAAGACCAGCCTGGGCAACATAAGGAGACCCTGTCTCTGCAGTAAATAAATAAATAAATAAATAAATAAATAAATAAATAAATAAATACCTACTCTGTGTTTCTTCATAGGTTATAATATTCAAATGTTACAGTTTTTCATTATTAATTCCTACTTTTCATTATTAGATGTTCAATTCTTTGTGGCTTATAATTCAGGGCATCTAAACTACTTTCTAATTTGTGATAAAACTGATTTATAACTATATTAATTCATTAACTTGGATAACCAGATTATCCCCTATTCTTCAGCTCATCAATCACACCAAGTTTTATACATTTTATAACAGACTTAAGTTGTTTTGACAATTGAGGAGAGATTCAATATACAAAACTAGAAATTGTTTTACTTATTTATGAAAAAATATTATGTAGGATTTTAGGGACCATAATTAAACAAATATTTTTCAGATAATATTTTTTGAGTTTATAAACTACCTACAACTATATTCTTAACTAATTATGAATTATAAACTAAAAAATTAAACCAAAGCTATATATATATACACATACACACACATATGTATATGTGTAAATACATGCTATTGACACATTGCCTTTTAAATTTCTCTTTTGTGATCAACACTTCCATAATATTATCATAGCACCACCAAGAGCACTTTACTATCAGAATTCTTACCTGGATTGCTATTTTGAGGATTTCTAGATATCTTTTGCTTATATTCCAAAAGTTGTTGATGAATGCTATGTATAAAAATGAATAAAATTATTTTAACAGCAATATAAAAAATATTTACCAAATTTATCAAGTTCTTAGAATATTTCAGACAATATCAGAGCTAACATCAGAATATAATTTATTCCATATACCTAGAGTTTGTAAGCTCTATGAACTTATTAAGCTTCATAGAGAAGAAAGCTTAAAGAAGAAAGTAAGATGAAATACTCATGAATTGAGGGCAGTATAACTCAGTAAATTAATTAGAGTTACCTTGGCATAATAAAAAATGCTCTTATCTCAGAATAAGTCATAGCAAAGTAACAAACAGGTGGGTGGTCTAAAAATGAGGATTTTAGAGCTTTATTTTACTAGGTTATTATAAAGATTTAACAAGATAACAGTTTTAAATGCTCAAAGAACTAGTGAAGCAATGCAATAATTTGTTCTTGAACCATATTGCTAAAATTATTTTTAAATTCTCAGTAAAACCCAATCTATTGGCCTGGTGCAATGACTCATGCCTGTGATGCAAGCACTTTGGGATACTGTAAGTGGAAGATCGCTTGAGCCCAGAAGTTCAAGACAAGCCTGGGCAACATAGGGACACCCAATCTCTATAAAAAATAAACAAATTATAAAATAAAATTTCTTCATAGGTTACAATGTTCAAATGTTGCAGTTTTCTGTTATTAATTCCTACTTTTGGTTATTAGATGCTCTATTATTTGTGGCTTATAATTCAGGGCATCTAAGCTATTTTAAAATTCGAAAGGAAATTTATTTATAAACATATTAATTCATTAAACTGGATAAACTTATTATCCTCTATTACTAAGCTCATCAATCACACTAAGGGGAGAAAATTAATAGACATAAGCATCTGGCTTGGGCTTTCATTTGACTGCAAGAAATATGCAACACTGCACAGATTTGTGTGTCATTCTTGTGCAGGGATCATGCTGATCTTCTTGATGCTGTTTCAGTTTTAGTTTGTGTACCATTGAAGCCAGCACAAATCCCTACTTTTATACATGAAGACTGATCAGTCATGGATGAGGCTCAGCTCTGTTAAATCTAACCAAGTTACTTGAGATTTAGTGAAATATGTTGAATAGCTTCATGGTGATGCAGAATTTTAAAATATTTTAAAAACTTGAGGTAGAGATACAAGTAGCATGGGAGATTTTTACTTTTAGGAAAAAAGAATCACTTGAGGGGACAACCACAAGTTGGAACACACTACAATTTGGGAAAGGTGACATGGGATCTTCCAGAATGAGACCTTCCACTATCTACAAAATGGTGCTACACAGGATCTAAAGGGCCACGGATATAGACCTGGTAACAAAGAATAGATTTCTAATTTCTTCCTTTAGCATTATTTCAACTTGACTTACAGTTTCAAACTATCACAACTAATATTTGATAGAGAAAATAGAGGAAAAGCCGCTCAAAGCATTACTTACCATGAAGGTCTAGGCCAAGTCAAGACTAAGATGTGGGTTTCCCATCAGCTTGTGAGTGTGAGGAGAAGGGTCAATTTGCTCACTATGTGTGTGGCTAAAGCTAAAAGTCTTAGCTGCCAGAGCCAGGTGCTGGTGCTTTGGAAACAATGGCTGAGAAAATTTTATGTAATAAGCTTTTAAAGACTGTAATAACTTTGAAGTCCACATATGGATCACCATGAAGACTGAGGGATCATTAGTAAGGGCATCTTGGTCACCAAGATCAATCATCACCAGACTGCAGGTGATGATTCAATGGCAACACTGCAGCAACACGATCAATGGAAACAACAAAATGAACAGAATGGCAATTTCCCCAGTCCTTCTGACTTGTACAAAAGGAATGTCTTCCTTGGACTTAGAGAACCCCTTAAATTCTTTTAAAAAATTCAAAGGTGAAGGTATGCAAGACAGCCCCCAGGTGACACTCTCAGGTTTTCTGCTAAAGTGGAGATTTCAAGACCCAAATAACTAATTAGAAAAATCAAAATTGCGACACTATGTTTATCCCACACACAGGGATTATACTTCAAATCAAGTAGACAGCAATAGGATCCCGAGGGATAAAGTTGTTGAAAATCATAAAAGAAAGAATCCTGGAAGCATTACTCCTTCTAACTAGTCTAGCTTTTTGCCTACTTTCTTTATGAATGCACTAACTCACTGTCTTTCAAAAATTACCTCAAACAAACTATGAAATTCCACCGAGCCTTTAAATGTAAACACTTACTTATCAAATGCACAAGCAACAGAGTAACATTCTGCGGTCATTCCACACATATCTTCAGCATGGATGTCAACATTTTGCTGAAGAAGCATGCCGACTGTCTCTGATGATCCATGACATACTGCAAGCATGAGGGCTGTGCTAAAATAACAGAGATAACTTCATTATTAGGAACAGAACCGTTTTAATATTTGCCTGTCAGTGTAGAAGTAACCATTTACATGTACTAACAAACATAAGTATCTTGAGTGCTCAAGTGTTTACCCTTGTAAATCACCACCAAGGCTAAAAGGAAGGGGCAAAAGATTCATGTCCCACTGGGATATGGCATACTAGAATGGCTAACATAAAGCCCTTTGAGAGGCAAAAAAATGCTCTTTTCAATAATCTAAAAGAGGCACAGATTTAAATGAAGAATTATTTATTTCTTCCTTAGTCTGATATAATAATTTGTACTTCAAAATCAGCCAAAAGTCAGACAACTGAGAGCAATCTGAAGGCTTAAAACAATATTGGGGATAATTATATTAGTTGTAGTCATAATAAGTTGAGTTAATGATGCTGATAAGAATGTAGGAGACACTGAGTTAAATGATGTTGATATTCATAATGTTATTTCTACACAATGGTCCTTAAAGGACACATTGTTATTCTCCTTTTCATATAGAAAATCATACTTGGTATTAAGTAATGTTTGCAAAGTCACACCTATCAAGTGAGGAAATTAAACCTAGTCTTGTGTGAATCAAAAGTCTATCCCTTTTGTCTTCATCACTCACCTATGGCTTATCTTCATTAACTAAAATGTTAATCCAATTAAAGATGTTTTTCTTCCCTGTACCCACACAAATTAAAAATAAAAATACACTATGAATAAAAAAGGAAAAAAATCATAAATTCACAGTACCTGGTGATACCAATTAATAGCCATGTAGGGATAATCTAACATTAACATTCCTCAAAGAAAACAACTTAAAGCAAACAGTCATCCTAAAGACAAAATGATTTTAAACTCCTACTTTTGATTGACATTGCTTTTTTTTTTTTTTTTTTTTGAGACAGAGTCTTTCTCTGTTACCCAGGCTGGAGTGCAATGGTACAATCTCAGCTCACTGCAACCTCTGCCTCCTGGGTTCAAGCGATTCTCCTGCCTCAATCTCCTGAGTAGCTGGGACTACAAGCATGTGCCACCATGACCAGCTGACTTTTGTGCTTTTAGTAGAGATGGGATTTCACTGTGTTGGCTAGGCTGGTCTCAAACTCCTGGCCTCAAATGATCCACCCACCTTGGCCTCCCAAACTGCTGGGATAACAGGTGAGCGCTACCATGCCCAACAAATATTGCATTTTTTAAAAAGTGTATAAAAACAGGAGTTAGAAAAATATTATAAAAGGGTTAATCATTTAATATTAAATTAAAAACCAGAAAAGTTCATACTTTTAAAAACTAATACCAAACCACTTTAGCTAATAGAAGATAATGCAACCAAAAACATCAGATTACAAATAAGAATCAGCCAATATAATAAGAGAAGATATATTCTACTATATGCTATTCTTTATTTTGGTTAGTCCAAATAATTACGCTTCTTCCTGATATTTTGTGTTGATATTTTTCACTATAATCTAATAATTTTAAGTAAATGTTATCAATTTAATATTTCTGACTTGAGAGTACTCTAGAACAATACTCAAGTGTTTTTAATTAAAAGAAAAGGACTGATGTACCATATAAACTTATTAACTGCATTTGCATTTGCATTTTTTTGTCAGTAAAAATTTCACAATTTGCTCACTTCTTTTTGTTACGGCCGGTAAAAGTGGTGTGAGGCCAGCCTGTAAAACAGTAAAAACAATTTATAATTCATAAAATTATATATTTCTCAGCTGAACTGAATACCTTATATAGTATTCTACAAACTTAAACACATGAAATAGGAAGTAAATCAATAGCAGTCCCTTTCTCCCTTTTCTGTGCTTTCCCATCCACTGCACCTTCCCTTGGAAACATTCAGCCTCTGCATCACCACATTAACTCTGAGTATCTCAAAAAATCATTAGATTGTAATGATTTGTTTCCCATCTAAACCAAGAGTTCCTTGAGGGTGTGGGGCTGTATCTTTTGTCTCTATAGCCTTAAACACTAAGACATAGTAGTAAAGACTTTGGTTTTTTAATTAAATTAGTAATCTAGATTATCACTTGTAGAGCATCGTTTCTTAAACTGTATTCCAAGGACTAATGACCTTACCAGAAGCACTGTACCCCAACAGATTTCAACATTACCTAAGTTCAAGAAATATTAAAAAACTGTGAGTTAAATATCTACTATTCAAGAAGTGACTTGAACTTTGCGTAACCCTTATTTGATAATATATATATTTTTGGCAAACATTAACATTTGACAAATTAGAATTTCAAGAATCCAGTTTTGAAAGCTTCCCAAGAGAAATGGAGGTCTCCTCTGGGTGGTACAAACTCACTTGATTCTCTTTGATCAATGATCCCAAGATCCCAGATGCCAATGTCAGGCACTCCTGCTCTAAATGAGTCACTGAGGAAGTGGTGAATTAAAAGAGATTGGCTTCAAATGAATTTTCATTGCTTATTATTAAATGGTTCATGGAATTTCTCATATTATAAGACAATAGAATTTTATCTCAGCTATTAGAAATTCAGTATAATAGTTTATTCTCAATTCTAATGATAATCCTAGGATCCTAATGCCTATCTATTTCTTAAATGCAATACTCCATTTTTATTCTGGTTTGTATTGTAATTGCCACTTATTTTGGCAAAACATCAGACATATGAATAAAATGACTCATTAATGAAAGTTCTAACTCATCCATATAAATTAGCATAATAGAAGCCGCTGAATCACTTGAGTTTTAAGAGACAATTCTGAGAAGAATGATATAATATTTTCTGCAAAAGGCATAAACTATTCAAATATAACCATGATTGATATAAAAAGGCTTAAAGGCATTCAAGTTAAAGATAATTGTTTATGGTTTATATAAAAAAAACCTTTGTTTAGAAATCTAAATTCTAGAAGTCAACAGCATTATTAATGAATTAATGCAGAATATAAACTATATATTACAAACACCTATCAACTGTCTTGAATACCTTGAAATCTTTAACAAAATATATTATGAGAGAGGAATTGATAACTGAAATATTGACAGAGGCAGAAGAGGTAACTTGAGTACATGATGTAAGTAGCAAACTGGAAAACATGTGCTTTGTGTAAAGCTAGAACCTCTTCATAGCATACCAAACAGTCATGTGGGCTCAAGAGAAACCAGATTCAAACCTTTAAGAGGAAATCCAGATTTCTGCATGTCTCCTAAATTTTACATGTTGACTCAATTTATCCAGGCAAATTTTGCTTTCCCATAGTTTTACACTAATTGGAAAGAAAAAACAACTTGGATGGGGAAGAATATTCTAAAAAGTTTTACCTTTAATGAATTCAAATGTTTATCATAAGTGCAGAGAAACACCATACCCTCTAAGAGTTCTTGTAAAAATATTAATATTTAAAGTAAAATCTTAGACAATTCTTATTTATTTATTTTTAAAGTCACCACATTCATGATGTGAACTCAAAGAACACATAGACAATTCTTTCAAACTATTTTCATTCAAGCAGTTTCAATTTTTAAATATAAAAACACTTACATATGTTAATGTTAAAACAAATGGATCTCAAACATTTTGAAAATAACATTGCTTAATGTCTACCTTGTTTTTCACTTCAGTGTCTGCACCATGGGACAGTAGTTTTGCCACCATTGACAAACTTACACTGTAAACTGCATATTGGAGAGCCATGTTGCCATGCACATCTACGATAGTTGGATCAGCACCAGAATCTATCAGAATATTTGCACAAGCCTCCCTCCAACATTGTAGAGCCTATCAGTATTAAAGCAAGAAGTAAATTTTAAATTATAGGAAATCAAAATAAATATTTCTCCGGTTTCACAAACTAGCTGTATTTCAGTGAGATTAGTTCATTTTCATTCTGTGTATTTAAACCGAATCCATCTCCTGCTGAAAGCCCTGGCTACTATTTACCTTCATCAGAGGTGTCCTGTTTTCACTGTCACAGATGTCAAGCAAGCACTTCCTGTCTGCCAGTAAAGTTACTACTTTCTCATGGCCGTAGGCACAGGCCAAGTGTAGCACAGTCCTATGAGAGTGAGAGGACCTTTTAGGAAAATTTAGTCCACTGTCTCAAAACATACAATGATTTATGTAACTGTAAACATTACATGCCATGCTTTCTCTGCCTTCAAAACAAATACTTAATATTCTGCTGCAGAAAGTACAACATTCATTCTATCTGATAACTCAATACATTAATCCAAGAGTGGCCTATTTGAATAGAAGGAACTCGGCCTTTGGATTCAGTTCAACTTGGGCTTGAATATTACTTTAAGGTCTTTCACTTACTAGCTATGACTTAACCTTTCTGTGCCTCAATCTTCTCATTGACAAAGTGAGAACGAATACAGCAGTTATCTCACAGGACATCACTGTGATGCCTCAATGAGAATCTATGCAAAATATTTCAGAGTTCCTGGCACATGTAACAGCTCAGTAATTGTCAGATATTATAATTATTACTATTACTTAACAAAGACAGCATTTTAAGTAAAATGGTACAATCATGATTGTTTTATCAATGCAGAAATCAAAGATAATACAAAGAAATAACATTTTATATGAAAGTAAATGCCCTCAATAACACATTTTATTATATTTTGTACATAATTTCAGATAACAGAATATACACACATACAATATACATAGTCTGTGTGTATGTATAATCAAACTGAACTCTACTCTCATTTGAACACCAAAATACATTTTCAAATATCAACATATTTGTGTATGTTTTTCTACCTTCGGTGTTCACATATCCAATGCTATAAATTCACTAAAACGTATAATGTATTTATAAGAGCCAATCTATGAATTCTTCTTTTTTTTTTGAGATGGAGTTTCGCTGTTGTTACCCAGGCTGGAGTGCAATGGCACGATCTCAGCTCACCGCAACCTCCGCCTCCTGGATTCAGGCAATTCTCCTGCCTCAGCCTCCCGAGTAGCTGGGATTACAGGCACGCTCCACCATGCCCAGCTAATTTTTTGTATTTTTAGTAGAGACAGGGTTTCACCATGTTGACCAGGATGGTCTCGATCTCTTGACCTCGTGATCCACCCGTCTCGGCCTCCCAAAGTGCTGGGGCTACAGGCTTGAGCCACCGTGCCCGGCCAATACATTGATATTTTAAGCAATGCTCAGAAAAGAAATTGTGTGTATGTTTCATTGTTTTCTAAAACTATTTCTGTATAATAGAATTGATCACTAACGGGCATATATAATTTTTAATATGGTACTTACCACCAAATTATCTATTTGAAATGTCATCTGCAACTTAAACTCTAAGCAGCAGTATAAATATCACTGCTCTTTATCGTCACAGACTTTATGGATAGAAAACAGTATTGATTCCTCTTTTAATTTAAATGCCTTCTCTAACCAGCAAAACAATACTGTCCCCTGTGTGCATAGGTCACCTGCAGATCTTAAGTAATTTGCCTAATTTTAAATTAGAAGCAAAGTACTTTTTTAGATACGTAATTTAGATCTCTAATTTCATTACCCAATTTTAAATCAGAGGGTTTTTTGTTGAGTGAATTTTCTATGAAAGGAAGAATTTTAAATCTAATATGTATTCACGCATGCACATACATGTGTAGTAAATACATGGATGCTGCCTTTTATTTTTTCTTATATGCAGGGTGATTTAATTTTTGTTTTGCTAAATTAACCGTCAGAGTGCTTGCTTCTGAGCGCCTTAATTGTCAACATAAAAAGGTGCCTGTGTCAATAGGCATTTATGTTTTCTTCTGGTACTTTTCTCAGTTTGTATATTAATACCTTTTAATCTATATTCCATCAGGAACTTATTTTGTGGCATAAACATCTAGTTTTCTCCAAAGGGCAGTCATTTCATATATTTGGGTGTTTACCGATTTTGTGTTCTGTTGGATTCATGTACCTGTCTTTTCAGCTGTTAGCAAACAATTTGTGATTTTTTATTGTTGTTGTTGTTGAGAAAGAGTTTCAATCTGTCACCCAGGCTGGAGTGCAGTGGCGGGATCTCAGTTCACTGCAACATCCTCCTCTCCGCTTTCCAAGTTCAAACGATTCTCCTGCCTCAGCCTCCCAAGTGGCTAGGGTTACAGGCACCTGACATCATGCCCGTCTAATTTTTATAGTTTTGTAGTGGCAGGGTTTCACCATATGGGCCAGGCTGGTCTTGATCTTCAGGTCTTAGGTAATACACCCACCTCAGCAACCGGGATTACAGGTATAAGCCACCACGCCCAGCCCATTTTGTGCAAATTAATAGCACATTTTCATTTCTAGAGGGGCAAGCTTTTCTACTCCATTACAAGTTTTTAAAATGTCATCACAATCGTAAAAGACAGCATGTGCAATTTAAAAAATGTCAAAACATTGATAACTTTATTTGGTTTGTGTAAAAGTGATGAAAAGCTCACACCTTGAGAAAGACAGAAATCACCTTCTCACCTCAAAGTTTCCTTCTAAGGTCCCTCAGCAAAGAACATCTTTACATAGACATTTATTGATATCAAAATGGATATTGGACTTTATCCAAAGAACTTTTTGCCAAGAAGTTCATATATTATGGGAATTATTTCATTTTGAACTATCACATAAAGTATCTAACATTGTCTTTTAAAATCTGTACGTTAACAGTAAAACACTGTGTGTACTTAATTTTGTGAGTTAAAGCACTTTAAAATTCTCTAGACATCGCTCTGTGACGGGAAGTGGGAGTGAAGGGAAAGCAGCTAAAGTTTGGGGCTGATTTTAAGGTGGCCTGGGACCTCCGCCCTGCAGGGCGCCCTCATCCCGGGCCTGGGGGACCCCTGCCCAGGACGAAGGCCCAGACCCCAGGGCCCAGGACCACTGCCCCCGACTCCTCCAGCTGCTCCCCTCGTCCCCAGGCCCCCCAGCCCAGCACTCTGAAGGGGCAATCCTCCCACAGCCCGCACCTCCTCCTGCAGCCCGGGCTCAGGCAGGGCCTGGTACCTATTCTTCGCGTCTCTTATGTTCAGGTCCCTTGTCTTCCTCTTTTTCATCATCTTCGGCAGCTTCCGGTCTTGGCCCTGCCAGGCAGCTTCGTGGATCTTCCTGAGATCCCTGCGGTGGATCTCATAAGAGTCGTTGCTGGTGTAGACCAGCCGACTGAGGGGGATCAGACTAGGCGGGTGCGACATGCCCCCGACAGCGGCTGCTGAGAGCCTCTCCACGGCTGCGGCCACCTGCTGGCCTCCCGCTCGCCCTTCCCCAGCCCCAGCCGCTCGCCCTCGCCCTTCTTCAGTCCCCGCACCCTGCCCCACACCAATAGGACTGTCGGTCTGGCCAAGCCCTGGGACACTCTGGCCTCTCCCAGGAGAAATTCGAGTTGTTAGGCAGCGGCGCATGCGCAGCTCAGCGGGCTGAGGAGGCTGCGCGAGGCGGAAAACCGCGCTGGCCCGGCTCCAAAGGTCACCGCGTGCAGGTGGCACCTGCCGCTGAGGCGCTGCCCTGCTGGCGAGGCTCCCTGGAGCGGAACATGGAGGATGCCCTGCCACACAGCCCGCTTGACAGAGCCGCCCCAGGCCCCTCCTGGACCCGCGATCCAGGAGCTGGGCACCCTGCAGCCTCCGGGTGGCGCTGAGCGTCGGTTCCCGTCCTCCTGCAGCTGGCGACCCACCCCCTGACCTAGGCGCCATGAAGGCTTCTGGCCCAAGGATCCGCGATGTTGGTGGCGCTGGCAGGGTTGGGGTTGCAGTCCCTGGGTCGCCATGTGGCGCACGCCCTCCCGCTCTAGGCCAGCCTCTTCCTTGGCTGGCGCCCAAAGAGCTGGGCTCCGGGCACTGTGCAGCCACCAGGATGGGAATGAGCGGCTGTTCCTGCCCTGGTGCAGAGGGCGGGCCGACTGACTTCAGCGCAGCAGCTGCGTCTCACCCCAGTCCACGTTGCTTAGGCCGGGAGGGGAAGCGGGGAGTTTGGGTTCCTCGGCCATATTTGCCTGTGTGCCAAGTGCTGGTAGCAGCTGCAGCTCAGACAGGGGCGCAGATGGCGGGTCCCGTTTGGAGGGTTTCAAGGTTGCTGAGTGTGCCCACTGCCAGGCCTCAGGATCCTTTCCTCCTTGACCTGTATCTGGAGAATGGCGGTGGCGCTGGGTAATCTGCAGTTATCCTGGATGGGGCTGAGCTGCAGTTCTCTCCCTTGGGCTGAGAGGGAGACTTAGCTTAGAGCAGATGAGGAAACAGTTACATTGAAATCATCCTATTAAAAATCCAGGCTGGCTGCAGTGCCTCGTGCCTGTACTTCCAGCACTTTGGGAGACCGAGATAGGAGGATCACTTGATCCCAGGAGCCTGAGACCAGCTTAGACAACAAAGGGAGACTTCATCTCTACAAAATAAAACAAATCAGCCAGGCATGGTGGTGCATGCCTGTGGCCCCCGCTACTCCGGAGATTCATTGAGGGAGGATCCCTTGGGCCCTGCGGGAATTCGTGGATACAGTGATCTGGGATTGTGCCACACACAAGGAATGAGAGGTCCTGTTGCTCCACATCCTCAACAGCATTTGATGTTTTCCGTCTTCTGAATTTGGGTTATTGTTTGGTTATTTGTGCCCCTGCACTCCAAGCCTGGGCAAGAGAGACTGTCTCATAAATAAATGAATAAATAAATAGTTCTAGTCACTATACCATTATCGATGTGGAATTCTTTACACACTAAGCTTGCAGAGTTGGTGTGTGGGCACCCACAGTGCCCACTAATTATGTGATAGGAACTATGTGATTAAAGTAGGTGACCATGTTCTTGCTTTTGGTCATTCCACTAGATGTGCAGTGTTAGCTCATTACCACACTTCCCCAAGGATATATTATGTGGAGCGTCATTACATATGCTTATTTTTTATTATTTGTATATTTTATTTGGTGTAATGCCTGTTACAGTCTTTAGTTCACTTTTCAATTGGGTTGTTTGTATCTTATTATTCCGTTTTAAGACTATTGGTATATTCTGGATAAAATTTGTCATTCAAATATGTTTCTGCAAATATTTTCTTTCAGTCTGTGGCTTGTCTTCACTTTCAGTGGCTTTAACAGAACAAAATGTTATATTTTAATCAAGTGTAGCTTACATTATTTCTTTTATGTGCTGTAACTTTGGTGGTTTTTTTTTTTTTTTAGAGATAATCAAACCCAAGAGGGTCTAAATTTTCTCCTTTTATTTACCAGAAATTTTATAGTTTTCTATTTGACATTTGGGCCTGTGATTCGTTTTGAGTTAATTTTGGTGAGAGGGTAAGATATGACTCACTTTTTTTTTAACATGGATATTCAGTTGTTCCAGCACCACTTTCTGATGAACACTATCTTTGTTTCATCATATTTCCTTGACTTTTTCCTCAAACATTAATTAGATATGTAGATGTGTGTCTATTTCTCAACTTTCATTTCATTATTGTTGTATGGACTCTTTCATCAGTATGGCACTACTTTGATGGTCATAGCTTTACAGTAAGTCTTGAAGTTGAGTAGTGCCTGTGTTTCCTCCAATTGTGTCCTTCGATATTATGTTAGCTATTCAAGGTCTTTTCCTTCTCCATTTAAACTATAGAATTTGTTTTTCTATATCCATAAAATAATTTGCTTCCATTTTTATTAGAGTTGCATTGCATCTCTACATTGGGAAGAACTGACATCCTGACAATATTGAGATTTTTTTATTTATGAAGATGATGTATCTTCTCCATTTGTTCAGTTCTTTTTTGATTTCTGTCATAGATACGGACAGATTTTGGAATTACATAACTCCCTCTACCTTGACCAAAGGACAGTGATCAATTTCTCATTCTGGAGCCAAAGTCACCTTTAAAGGCATGTGTCTGAACATAGACAGGCAGGTATAAAAAATGATAAAGACATCCTGGGAAAAATATGAAATTCAAGAATCAGCAGCCATGTCTAAGTAACTAACTCGTTTTCATTCCCCAGCTCTGCCTCTGGGGCTGTATTGGAATGTGCACCTCTTGACCTTAATGAGAATGTTCTTCTTCATCCCTGCCATGGGGGAAAATTTTTCACAAACAATTTAAAAAATAATTTCAACTTTTATTTTAGATACAGATGCTGGGTCTGCAGCTTCGCATGTGTCTTTTTGGTCAAATGTTATATTTTCTTTTGGGTATATACTCAGTAATGTGATTGCTGGGTCAATCAGTAGGTCTGTTGTATATTTTTGGCGAAATCTCTAAACTGATTTCCATAGTGACTGACCTAATTTACATTCCCAGAGACAGTGAAAAGGATTTTCTTTTTCTCTGCAGCCTCGCCAGTATCTGTTAACAAATGACCACTTTTATCCCAGGCATACATCATCTGTTAGCTTTGATTTTAGCACATCCTCTGAAGAAGATAGTTTATTTCACAACCAAAGATGATTCATTTTCCAAACATGTTTTGTTTGTTTTTCTGAAGGCATGTGGTACTTTCCATCTGCATCAGTTTGGGGTATAGATTAAGAGCATGGTACCTTAAAGTGACCCATGTCAGTGTCCCCATGCACGGTTCTGTCCCAGAACTCTTCACAAGCTTTTTCTTTTCCCTATGTCCTTTTGTAATTTTTGAATTTTGTTTTGTTTACATATATTACTTAATCAAAATTATTACAAAAATAAAATGAAAATATATGCATGTACTGAAGCAAAATATTACAATTATTTGCCTGCATGTCTTTCCATCCAGACTAAGTCAAGGGATCAGCTATATTCATCTTTTTATTTTCTGAAACAGTTTCTGACACATAATACATACTCAGCAAAGGCTGAACAAAGGAAGGATGAGATATAGATGGTTAAGTTTTCTCTTCATACTTTTCCATCATTTTCATATTTTCAAAATTATTTTTTTAATTAAGAAAAATGAAATTCTGGAGAATGAACAAGAACATGGAGGCAGGCTGATAGCTAGGAGCCTCTTTTAATAGTTCACATAGGAGATTATGAATAGCTTGACTTGGGTGTTGCCAAGAAGCCAAAGGCTCTTAGATGTTTTCTTTAGGACCTGCCTGATACCACCACATCCATCATTTTGAATTACATATTCCAAATGAGAGTGGATATAGAGAGGTGGGCAGTTGCTGCCAGAACAGTATTCTAAATAAGTTGAGCCTTCCATGGCAGCTTCTCCCTCTCTTTTTTTATTTTTATTTTTTTAAATTGCATTTTAGGTTTTGGGGTACATGTGAAGAACATGGAAGATAGTTGCATAGGTACAAACGTGGCAGTGTGATTTGCTGCCTTCCTCCCCTTCACCTATATCTGGCATTTCTCCCCAGGCTACCTCTCCCCAACTCCCCAACGCCTGCTGTCCCTCCCCTATTCCCCCCAACAGACCCCAGTGTGTAGTGCTCCCCTTCCTGTGTCCATGTGTTCTCATTGTTCAACACCTGCTTATGAGTGAGAACATGCGGTATTTCATTTTCTGTTCTTGTGTCAGTTTGCTGAGAATGATGTTCTCCAGGTTCATCCATGTCCCTACAGAGGACACGAACTCATCATTTTTGATGGCTGCATAATATTCCATGGTGTATATGTGCCACATTTTCCCTGTCCAGTCTATCATCGATGGGCATTTGGGTTGGTTCCAGGTCTTTGCTATTTTAAACAGTGCTGCAATGAACATACGTGTGCATGTGTCCTTATAGTAGAATGATTTATAGTCCTTTGGATATATACCCAGTAATAGGATTGCTGGGTCAAATGGAATTTCTATTTCTAAGGCCTTGAGGAATCGCCACACAGTCTTCCACAATGGTTGAACTAATTTACACTCCCACCAGCAGTGTAAAAGTGTTCCTGTTTCTCCACATCGTCTCCAGATTTTTTAATGTCGCCATTCTAACTGGCATGAGATGGCATCTCAATGTAGTTTTGATTTGCATTTCTCTAATGACCAGTGATGATGAGCATTTTTTTATATGTTTGTTGGCCTCATGTATGTCTTCTTTTGTAAAGTGTCTGTTCATATCCTTAGCCCATTTTTGAATGGGCTTGTTTGTTTTTTTCTTGTAAATCTGTTTGAGTTCTTTGTAAATTCTGGATATCAGCCCTTTGTCAGATGGGTAAACTGCAAAAAATTTTTCCCATTCTGTTGGTTGCCGATTCACTCTAGTGACTGTTTCTTTTGCCGTGCAGAAGCTGTGGAGTTTGATTAGGTCCCATTTATCTGTTTTGGCTTTTGTTGCCAGTGCATTTGGTGTTTTCGTCATGAAGTTCTTGCCTACTCTTATTTCTGAATGTTTTATAGTGTTAAATCTTATGTTTAAATCTTTAATCCATCTGGAGTTAATTTTAGTGTAAGTTGTCAGAAAGGGGTCCAGTTTCTGCTTTCTGCATATAGCTAGCCAGTTTTCCCAACACCATTTATTAAACAGGGAATCCTTTCTCCATTGCTTGTTTTTGTCAGGTTTATCAAAGATCGTATGGTTGTGGATATGTTGTGTTGCCTCCCAAGGCCTCTGTTCTGTTCCATTAGTCTATATCTCTGTTTTGGTACCAGTACCATGCCATTTTAATCACTGTTGCCTTTTAGTATAGTTTGAAGTCCGGTAGTGTGATGCCATTCACTGTATTCTTTTTACTTAGAATTGACTTGGCTATGCGGGCTCTCTTTTGGTTCTATATGAAGTTTAAGGTGGTTTTTTTCCAG